ATAAAACTGTAAACAAAAAAATAAGTTACCTAAAATCACCTAATAAACAAGTGGTTGTAAAGTCAAAATCAGGCTACTCATCCATTTGATTCTGTGTCCATGGTTTGCATTATTTCCCCAACTTTCAGATAAAACACATGGTACCCATATCAATTTTGCCCAGTCTGTAAATCTGTATTATAATTAACTCATTTTTTTAAGGAAAAAAAAAACTCACTTTTAAAAATAAGTGCAATTGTTTAACTGGGAAAACCCTATACGGACCATAAATGAGAAACCAGTCGTGCCACATCTATAAAAGGGAAACTAGCACCCCTTGCCATGAGCAAGAAGAGACCATAAATATAACTTCATTATAAACAAAAGGATATTGGATGCTAGCTGTTGTTGCCTGCAGAAAGCTCTAACTCTGAGGTCTCCTTTTCTCTGTTAAAAAGTGAAATTGGCAAGGTTACTAAGCCTTTTAGAACCAAAATGAGAAGGTCTCCTTGACTTGAGAAGAATTGAAGAATTAAAATAGAAGTAATTTTCTCATTATAATTATGTGTAATTCAATGCTGTTTAACACAGTGTCTGTGAGATAGCTAAAATCATCTCCTGAACCATCTAAAGACATCTTAGATTCCACCGGTTGCTCCACATCCAATATTTTTTAATATACTCTTTACCATTCTTTTTAATTGCCTTGAAGAATACTGGGATGATGAATCTGGTGAGGGAGAATAAGGCTTAGGAGAATCACCACCATTTCAAATTCTGAAGGGCTTACATGTGATAGAGAGTACTTATTTTATCCTCATGAAAGTTGAACAAGGACAAATTGTGTGATGCTTTGAAATACAACTTTCAGTTCAAAGTAATGTATAATATGAACATTAAAACTAACAAAATGAATGGTTGTTGCTCAAACAACTGAGTTCTTGCTCATGAAAATTGATAGCTGACCATCTTCCAAGATTGATATAAAGGACATGATTCTATTATTAGTACTTGGGGATTGGAGTCAAATTGAACTATGGTGTTGGAGAAGACTCTTGAGAGTCCCTTGAAATGGAAAGAGATCCAACCAGTCAGTCCTAAAGGAAATCAGTCATGGATATTCATTGGAAGGACTGATGCTGAAGTTAAGCTCCAATACTTTGGCCACCTGATGCAAAGAACTGACTCATTGGAAAAGATCCTGATGCTGGGAAAGATGGAAGGCAGGAGGAGAAGGGGATGACAGAGGATGAGATGTTTGGATGGCATCACCGACTCCATGGACATGAGTTTGAGCAAGCTCTGGGAGTTGGTGATGGACAGGGAAGCCTGGTGTGCTGCAGTCCCTGGGGTCACAAAGAGTCGAACATGACTGAGCAACTGAACTGAACTGAACTGAGAACTTTAAGATCATTTTCAACTCCCTCATTTTCTGTGACTCCATAATTACTGCTAGTAGCTCAAAGATCATTGGACATTTGAGATACTATAGCTGATGATCTTACTTAGAGATTTTTCAACCTCAGCACTACTGACATTTTTTGACTAGATAATTCTTTGACCTGTGCATTGTAGGATGTTTATCAGCATCTCTGGCCTCTACCCACTACATGCTACATACACCCCCAGTTGTGACAACCAAAATTGTCTCCAGGCGTTACCAAATGTCCCCTAGGAAGCAGACCTCTCTTGGTTGAGAATCACTGTTCCAGACCCAGTTCTCTCTGTGCCTATTTGCTCTTCTGAGACAGTAATCAGTAGAAGCTTCTTAAATATTTATGTCTTATGCATTGTCCATTTGCACTTAATGCACTTAACAAACATCTACAATCACCTTGCTGGATGCTGTATTAAGCACTGAGGATACAACGGTAAAGGAGGCAGAGCCAGTCCTTACAGAGCTCTGTGGTGGATGGTTGGGACTTCAGGAGTTGAGGGAAGAAGATCCAGACCTGAATGTGGTTTATCACAGTTAACCTGTTTTCCTGCCTATTTCCACCATTATTTTGTGAGCTTTCTAAAGGTGAGAAGTTGTCTTTTAAACCTTTGGATTCCCAGGGCCTAGCTAAGTGCCTGGAATACAGGAGGTTCTCAACAAATGTTTGGTGACCTAATGAGAGGGTAGGGAATTAGGCAGAAAGTGGTAACCTACCTAGCACATTAAACCACCATCATAACATAATCACCCAGTTCAGTTGATTGGAGAAGAAGGAAAATTTATATAGTTTTTGTTAGGTCTTGTGGAATATTAATATCATTGCATCTTTTCATAGTTTCATCATATGTTATTTTTATGGGCATTGTCCCTTATCCTAATATATCTAGGAATATAAGAAAAAGATGAACCAGGCATGTTCTGCTACCCCTCTTTCTAGCACTTTACCTTAAGGTTGACAAGTAAAAATTTGACCCAGAAAATGATCAAAGCAATGCGTTTTGTTGTGGCTCATTTGAATTAGGCATTTTGAAAATTAGTTCAAATTTTTAAGCCAAAGGAGAATATACTGTCTCACATAACCAAAAACATAATCTCACTGGCTTCTGGCAGAGCTTGGTTGCAGGTTCAATGTCTACAGCACACAGTTCTTTCTCTCTCTGTCTCCCCCTCTTCCATCCCTGCTTCACACAGATTCAATTCTGTGAATTGGAATTAGGCATTTTGGTATATTTGCTCTAAGTGCAAATTTACTCAATTTCATTACCAATCTCAAGAAGGCATGAGGGATAAGTAAGGATCGGGAAGATTAATGATTAAATTGAAATTATTTTGCTTTTAGTCATTAAAATATCTCTCCATTGAAATAACCACAACAAAAAGTCCTATATCTGGAAATGACATAATTTGTATAAAGTAAGCACATGGCAAATAGAGAAATTCTATGGCATCAAAAATGTAAAATGTCTTTCTTCTAAGTCATGTGGCTGAATCTCTGACCCAAATCTACGTATTCATGTCCTTCTAAGGGAAGTTCAGTTCAGTCATTCAGTCATGTCCGACTCTTTGCGACCCCATGAACCGCAACAGGCCAGGCCTCCCTGTCCATCACCAACTCACGGAGTTCACCCAAACCCATGTCCATTGAGTTGGTGATGTCATCCAGCCATCTCATCTTCTGCCATCCCCTTCTCCTCCTACCCCCAATCTTTCCCAGCATCAGGGTCTTTTCAAATGAGTCAGCTCTTCGCATCAGGTGGCCAAAGTATTGGAGTTTCAGCTTCAGCATCAGTCCTTCCAATGAACACCCAGGACTGATCTCCTTGAGGATGGACTGGTTGGATCTCCTTGCAGTCCAAGGGACTCTCAAGAGTCTTCCCCAACACCATAGTTCAAAAGCATCAATTCTTTGGTGCTCAGCTTTCTTTATAGTCCAACTCTCAACATCCATACATGGCCACTGGAAAAACCATAGCCTTGACTTCTAAGGGAAGAGCATCTGTAAATAAAAATTAAAAGAGTAGTTCACTGTGCACTTTATTTTTTAATAGGTCCCTTCCACTTGTGATTCTTAGCATGAGGACAGAACTATTTCGTACTTATTATATCCCACACAACACACAGCACATGTTCCTACACATAGTAGGCACAAAACAAAGTTTATTGAAGGAAAACAGAAAGCATGTTGCAATATAATTCAAGTACATCATGTATTCTATCATAATTTACCCATTATACACTTGACCCTTGAACAAAATGAGCTTGAACTATGCAGGTCCACTTATACACAGATTTTTTTCAATAGATATACTGGAAAATTTTAATGGAGATTTGCGACAGAAAAAACTCAGATGAAACGTGGAGCCTAGAAGTATCAAAGAATTAAAGGAAAGTTAAGTGTGTGATGAATATATAAAATACATGTAGATACTAGTTGATTCTTACTTATAAGGTATAAGGTGAGTGATATATAATATAAAACTAAAACTATGTTTTCTTACTATTTCATAACTTTGCTTTCAGAGAGTTATATTACTGTACACTATACCTCCTCTTATAATTGGAGAAACTCCATATCAGACTATCATCCTAGGTAAGTGTTCTTTTTTTTTTTTTTTTTTTTTCACGTAAAATAAGACATTTATTATGCTAAAGAACAGGTTTTATTTTTCATTTCCCCAGAACACTAACATAGCACATGGCAGAGTAATTTAGCACACAATATAAACTGATATATGCAGTCGATAATTCCGAAAATGGGGACGTCTTACTCTGGGACTCCTTAGAAACTTCTGCTCTTCAGTGCCTTTTATCGAAGTTATCAACACACGGCAAAAGGAGTTATCTCAGAAAAAATTAGTGTAGGAGATCTCTCAACTCCTAGAAACGGGAGACCTTCTATAAGGGGAAATACTTGCTTTTTTTTTCCTCTAGGACTGAGCTCCAGTGGAGCTCATTTTTTATTCTGGGTAACACTGCTAGGGTTCCTAGTTTGAGGAAGGGTTATCTAAAGGTAATGTTAATATTGCAACTTTCACCGTAGGGCCTCCATGTAAACTGCATGTCGAGTGGAAGGAAAGGGATGTGAGAAAAGACATCAGCTTTTTGCTCCAATTATTCTACAAAACACAGAAGTGGCAACAGCGTACCATCAGCGTGGCTTGGCTCAGACCAAGCCCGGCAGGGCTGACTGTTACAGATACCTGCTCTCATCAGACGGTCAGAGAATAGGCTGGAGAGAGAGTGCCTGGGATGGCAGCCCTGCTGGATGGGTGCTGAAGGTAAACTTAAACCTTGCTAGTCTGATAGGTGTATAAGGTAATATCAATAACCTCCTTGACATGGCTTCCCAATCCTAAATGTCTTTCAAGTACAGAGACTTCCTTCCGTACCAACCAGATTCTGTGGGTTTAAGCTCCACTGACTTGAAGTCTGTCTGGTCACACGAATCAAAGCCAGAGCTTCACTGCCGCGCCATGTGTGTCCAGAGTTAACGCAAAAGAAAGCATTCGAGGAGAGCGCTTGAAGTTAGTCTCACTGTTTTTACTGTTCTGCCTGTACCTTAACCGTGGCGTAACAGATTTGCTCATTCAAAAGCTTGTGGAGCCAGTGACGCCACAGTTATCTGCAGATCATCTGAGGTACTCTCTTCCCATGAAAGCATTTTCTTGTATTCTACTCTTGGCTCTGAAAACATGGGCTCTGAATGGCCAGGGAAAACACTTTTTGTCTCATCATTCAAGAATATTAGGGGATGTGCGTGCAGCAGGATGGATCGCAGGCAAGAGGGTGCCAACGCAGAGTCCAGCTTCTCTAGGAAAGCACGGGGCGGATCATCCTCGGAACCCCCCTTTGCGGACCCGCTCAGCCGGCCCAGCAGTCCGGACCCCCAGGGCTCTCCGCCGTGGCTCCGTCCCCTGTGGCCACCAGTGGGCACGGGCGCTGCCCATGGCCAGTCCGTCCCCGGAGCCTCCCCGACGCCGCGGGCCGGCCCCGCACACCGTGGCCCTGCAGGCGCCGAGGACAGACCCGCAGTGTCACTCTGCGCGGCAGCTGAGGCCGAACTTCTTTGTGCTGCTTCTTGCCACCGTGGAAGTGCTTTGAGGCCACCGCGACGCACGGGGCTGGCCCCACGCGGGTCCCGCTCTGTTTCCGGTGATGACTCCTCCTTTCGTGGATCTCCCTGGGCAGCGGCCGCAGGCCTCCTCACCCGGGAAGCGGCATCTGCGGGCCGAGGGCTCCCCTCCTGCCTTCTCTCACTCCACAGTCCTCTGCACAAGGCTCTGTCAGAGGTGGCACCTGCTCCCTGCTCCTCCGCGAGGCGGGCGCAGAAAGGCCTGCGTCCGTCCCTCATGCTGTGTCTCTGACACCCTGAGCCCCAGGACACGCCTGTCAGTCCGCGGAAGGCCTTCAGTGGATCTCAATATGAACCTGCAGACGGACGTTGAGCATCATGGAAGCCACGATGTAGAGGTAGGGGAAGTTGATGCGCAAGCGCCAGGCCAGGTCGAAGAAGATGAGCAGCGTGCGGGTCAGCCCCTTGCAGAAGACCCCATAAGAGCGGGCGGCGGCCGAGCGCGAGAGCCGGACAGCCAGGCCCGACAGAGCCGCCGCCATATAGACCGGCGCCCGCCGCCGCCGCCGCCCGCCCGCAGCGCACCGACCGGCCGCTGGACCCGGGCCGCCGGGCGCGCCGAAGCCCGGCCGCCCGCCCTCTCGGCGCCGCGACGCCCCCGAACCTCCGCCCCGGCCGCTGGCCCGCTCTGAGGGAGCCAAGGAGGCGGCGGCGAGGCCGGCGGGCGGGCGGGCGGGCCGGTAAGTGTTCTTAAAAAACAAATTATTTCCAATACCTAAGAATCATGAATATGACCGTAATACTGTATGCCACAACATTTTTATAATGATTCATTCATTAATATATAGGCTAAGCTATATAATTGATATGTGAAGCAATTGTATTGATTACCATAAAGCAATCAGATTACTGCTTCTTCATTACCAGTGCATGAATTGTTATACCTGTAGATGAATATGAATTTCTTTTTCATATTATCTTTTCATTTTTGATATCTAGTATCAATAATAACATCTAAAGTATTTTATATCATAAGACAATTTTGATACAGGTACTGATAGATGATTCATCTTATAAACAGATGATTCAAACTTATGGTATTGATATAGTACAGTACTATAAATATAGTTTCTCTTCCTTATAATTTTCTTAATAACATTTTATTTTCTTTAGCTTACTTTGTTGTAAGAATGAAGTATATAATGCATTAACATATGAAATAGGTGTTATGAGTGTTTATGTTATCAGTAATGCTTCCGGCCAACAGTAGTCTATTAGTAGTTAACTTTTGGGGGAGTCAAAAGTTATACACAGATTTTTATTTTTATTTATTTATTTTAATTGGAGGCTAATTACTTTACAATATTGTGGTAGTTTTTGCCATACCTTCACATGAATCAGCCATGGGTGTACATGTGTCCCCATCTTGAACCCCCCTCCCACCTACCTCCCCATCCCATCCCTCAGGGTCATCCCAATGCACCAGTCCTGAGCACCTGTCTCATGCATTGAACCTGGAGATCCATTTCACATATGATAATATACATGTTTCAATGCTATTCTCTCAAATCATCCCACCCTCGCCTTCTCCCACAGAGTCCAAAAGTCTGTTCTTTACATCTGTGTCTTTTGCTGTCTCGCATACAGGGTCATCGTTACCATCTTTCTAAATTCCATATATATGTGTTAATATACTGTATTGGTGTTTTTCTTTCTGATTTACTTCACTCTGTATAATAAGCTCCAGTTTCATCCACCTCATTAGAACTGATTCAAATGTATTCTTTTTAATGGCTGAGTAATATTCCATTGTGTGTATGTACTACAGCTTTCTTATCCATTCGTTTGCCAATGGACATCTAGGTTGCTTCCTTGTCCTAGCTATTGTAAACAACACTGCAATGAACATTGGGGTACTTGTCTTTTTCAACTCTGATTTCCTTGGTGTATACACAGATTTTTAATACTTGTGGGTGTGCCTCCAACCAACCCCTAAGTTGTTCAAGGTATAACATTTCACATTGACATCTATCATGATTGCTGTGGGACTGGACATTGGTCCAACTGGGGCAAATAAGGTGAAGAGTTGTTGTTTGGAAGGTTGCTTGGGTTCCCCATAACTTGAATTTAAGAGAGTGTTAAGTCTAGAGCTGTTGTTGCCATCTTGTAGCCATAAGGAAAGAGACGCCAGAGAACTGAGTCTGTGTGAAGGAGGTATGGAAGGTGTTGGGGGGGGGGGAGGGGTGGAAAGGAGGGAGAGAGAGAGAAAGAACTGGGTGCTGTGGACATTGAACCTGCAACCAAGTTCTGCCAGAAGCCAGTGAAATTGTGTTTTTGGTTATGTGAAACAATATACTCTCTGGCTTGGAAATTTGAACTAATTTTCTGCCACTTTCAACTCATAGTCTTTACTTCAGTTCAGTTAGTTCAGTTTAGTCCCTTAGTCATGTCCATCTCTTTGCGACCCGATGACCTGCAGCACGCCAGGCCTCCGTGTCCATCACCAACTCCCAGAGCCTATCCAAACTCATGTCCATTGAGTTGGTGATGCCATCCAACCATCTCATCCTCTGTCATCCCCTTCTCCTCCTGCCCTCAATCTTTCCCAGCATCAGGGTCTTTCCCAGTGAGTCAGCTCTTCCCATGAGGTGGCCGAAGTATTGGAGTTTCAGCTTCAACATCAGTCCTTCCAATGAACACCCAGGACTGATCTTGAGGATGGACTGGTTGGATCTCCTTGCAGTCCAAGGGACTCTCAAGAGTCTTCTCCAACACCACAGTTCAAAAGCATCAATTCTTTGGTGCTCAGCTTTCTTTATAGTCCAACTCTCACATCCATACATGACCTAAATGCAAGTTACATTTTCTTCTTTTCTTGGCATATTATAGTAGTATGTACACTGTGATAATTTTAATGCTTGGGTTGGGGGTGGGGGGAGGGGATGATGAAGAAGCCTGAATTGGGGTTTTAGTATATATAATAAAACATTAATTCATTTAATATTTATTAAGTCCCTATTATATTCCATTGCACAAAGAATTCTGAAAACACAAACCAAACTTATAAAAGCAAGTAGAAGAATTGCTTCTCTTAGATATTTAAAAAGTTTTTCTCTCATTAGGGCTAGATTTTTGTTATGGATATAATGAATGGCTTTTGCATTTCATATGGACCATAAATGGCAAGTTCTTTCATTTATATGTAATATTAAAAATTGTCCCTTTAGAAATATGCAGAGGAATTTTTGACATTTAACTTTATACACTCAAATACCACTATAAGACTTCTTTAGAACTTTTTTCTCCTTTAAAAGATCGTTATTTTATCATTTAACTTGAGTTTCAGTTAGCATTTGATTTCCATATCTAAAGGGGCTCTATATTTGGCTTTCTCCTAGGGTAGAGTCCAAATGTGATATGGCTTCTAGAATCATGGCCTCTATAGGCATGCACCAGTTGTTATAGTATATTGACTAGCATATCATTACCTCGGACCAGCATTTTCCTAACTTCAGAACCATGCTCAAGCCACTTGAGCTGTTCACTGATATTCTTGAGGAAAACCAACTTTTTTCTGTGGTCTTCAGAATTAACACCAAGTGCTGCTACTGCTGCATAGTCACTTCAGTCGTGTCCAACTCTGTGCGACCCCATAGACGGCAGCCCACCAGGCTCCCCCGTCCCTGGGATTCTCCAGGCAAGAACACTGGAGTGGCTTGCCATTTCCTTCTCCAATGCATGAAAGTGAAAAGTGAAAGTGAAGTCGCTCAGTCATGTCCAACTCTTAGCGACCTCATGGACTGCAGCCTACCAGGCTCCTCTGTCCATGGGATTTTCCAGGCAAGAATACTGGAGTGGGGTGCCATTGCCTTCTCCGAACACCTAAATAATATTCACTTAATCCTCTTGGTCTCAGTCATTGATGTGGTATAATAATATGTATAAAATAAACTGTTTAGTTCAAGGCATAAAAATTACCAAATAATTCCCCAAAATGTGTGCAGTCATGTCGATCATTCCCTATCCTAGTTTTTTTATAAGATTTTTATTTATTTGTTGAGGTACGGTTGATTTGCAATGTTGTATTAATTACTGCTGTATAGCAAAGTGATTCAGTTATATATATGTACTTATACACGTTCTTTTTAAAAACTATTCTTTTCCATTACGGTTTATCAGAGGATATTGAATATATCAATAGTTCTCGGTGCTATATAGTATGATCTTGTCATTTATCCATTCTATATATAAAAGCTTACATCTGCAACCCCAACCAATGTTCTTCCCCTTGGCAACCGTCAGGCTGTTCTCTATGTCAGTGATTCTATTTCTCTTTAATAGATAGGTTCATTTGTTGTATTTTAGATTCATATAAGTGATATCATATGGTATTTTTCTTTATCTTTTTGACTTTATCTTTTTCACTTACTATGATAATCTCTAGTTACATTCATGTTGCTGCAAATGGCATTATTTTCTTCTTTTTTATGGCTGAGTAGTAGTCCATTCTATATGTATACCATGGCTTCTTTATCCATTCATCTATTGATGGACATTTACATTGTTTCCTTGTCTTGGCTATTGTGAATAGTGCTGTGAACATAGGTGTCCAGGAATCTGTTCAAATTATGGTTTTCTTCAGATATATGCCCAGGAGTGGGATTGCTGGATCATATGGTAACCCTCTTTTTTAGCTTTCTGAGGAAACTCCATACTGTTTTCCACAGTGGCTGCACCAACTTTCATTCCCGCCAGTGGTGTAGGAGGGTTCCCTTTTCTCCACATCCTCTCCAACATTTGTTATTTGTAGATTTTCAGTGATGGCCATTCTGACTGGTGTGGGTGGTACCTCACTGTAGTTTTAATTTGCACTTATCTAATAATTAGTGATGCTGAACATCTCTTCAAGTGCCTCTTGGCTATCTGTATGTCTCCTTTGGAGAAATGTCTATTTAGGTCTTCTACCCATTTTTGAAGAAAATTGCTTGATTTTTTTGCTATTGGGTTGTATAAGCTTTTTATGTATTAGTTTGATATTTATCAACCCAGCAGGATACTAAGGAGGATTAATCAACAAATTCAAAAGCATGTTCCTTAAGCTGTTACTAACATTTCACAAAGCCTAACAGAATTTGTCCAACTTGAGATAGATTGCATGGGCTAAATGAAATGTTAGCTCTGCTTTAGTTTTGAATTATGTTAACTCAACATACTGATGCTAGACAGTTCATATTGATCAGCAGCTTTGATTAGTAGTTAATTTGGTCTTCAATGAAAAA